GAAGCCTTTAAAAATTCACGTTGAGACTACTTAAATCGGGTTATTTAAAATTACATAATTCCATTATGTTGAAGTTACATAAACAAATTATGTTTGTTTAACGTAATCAAGTTATGTGGAACCTGTTGACAAATTAAAATTAATTAAAGCCAACATTTAATTTTTTTGAGTGAGAGAACCGCGATCAAGGCATTTGTTGATCCAATCGAGTGCAGAGGCTTTTTCTTTCCCGGTTCGGTTGAAACACTGCTCTCTCCGGGGTTTAAGGGAACACATTACGTGTCTTAATATAGTGCCTGCTATATTAAAGCGTGTGGCTCAGCTTACCCTGCATCTGTTGCATGAGCAGAGCGCCCTGCAGCATGGGGTTGTGTCCGATGATGGTCTGCGTGGCGGAGCAGAGGTTCACCATACGAGCAGACGGAGGCGCTGGAGCCATGGACCTGTTTGATGACAACACACACACACACACACATTAACTCGTGCATGTGTCTCAGTTCAATGTAAAAGAAGCATTTAAAGAAAGTAAGGTTCATTAGTTAACATTAGTTAATCACATCCAAAATAAAAGTTTGTGTTTACATAATATATGTGTGTGTAGTGTGTATAACTAGTTTGTATATATAAACACATATACATGTATATTTTTAAGAAATATTTGCATGTATATATATATTTATACATAATTGATAGTATACATATACCTAAAAATATTTTATATATTAATAACACATTCTTCTTAAATATATGTTTGTGTTTTTATATATACACAATCTAATCTAATATAACATATATATATATATACATACATAATATAATAACATAATTATACACACACATATTATGTAAATACAAACAAACTTTTATTAATCGTTGCCTATCCCTAATTTCAACATTTACTAATCCAGTATTAAAATCTTGTTAACGTTACTGTGAACTAACATTAACAAACAATAAATGGTGTTTATTAACGACAGCAACAAATGTATTCCAACATTAACAAATGTTAACTAATGAACCTTATTGTAAAATGTAATTAATTGCAAAAATTATGTTCTAGGTTGCTATTAAAATTATGTGCAAAATTATACATTTTAATGGGTCAGGGAAAAGAGTTGCTCAACCCTCAGCTTTTCTGTTAATTGGGATGTACGATATATCAGTATCAGCAGATATACGATCATTTTTACAGTTTTTCTCAGTCGCTTTGGTGCATTTTTCTCACATCACTATTTACATTTGCACAACAGTTACTTCAACCTCCACAACATTGAATCATGTGTGCACATCATAGTAGCAGTTTCTCATTCCTTCCAACAAATTGCAATTGCTTTCATACAACTCTCTGCTGTTTTATAACATTGTCATTTGCTTATGTCATATCAGTCCAATTTAACTATACTTGTGAATGCTGAATAGTCATTCCATATCAAACGTCCTCATTTCATTGCTCGAGTCATCACATACAGAAATGTTGAACTAGTTGTCAAAATCTGTCAAGCAAATTTTACTTTTTTTAATCTTTTAAAAAAAACAACCTTTTTTATCCTAAATTGAACAATTTCTCGCAGGTGAGCCTCAGTTTTCACTGATGAGGAGATGTAAATGAGTGATTTACAGTATATGTATGTTGTTTGTTCAGTTCCTACTGTGATATTGTTTACAGTTGTGCACCGATCCACCCAACGGGAGTTTATGTTTGTTGTAAATAAGGGTGTATTTTTTCTTTTGCACAATGCTCTGAACAAATTAGAAATGCAAAGAGCATGCGGTAAAAATGTGAAACGTACATATTCAGTGTCTTGTACTCATTTACTGTAAACTCACTAATGCGAAACTTTACTGTAGTTTTCAAATGGCTGTGCAAATAGTTTATAGGACTGTCTTGAGCATTTTCGGGTATAGTGTCACCAAGACCTGACTTTTTTTGCATTGGCAAACACTTACATAATGAAAACATGACAAAGCCATTTGACTATCTTGTTCATAAACACTGGTGTCAGGACTTTTCATCTTGACCACACTGACACTTTCAATGACATGAATACTTGCTTTTGAGGAGTGAGTTATCCATTTTGAGCAAGTGACACACTTTTGCAGGTTATCAACTAAGTTTTGCAGTTTGTACTAATTGTTTTGAGAACTGCATTAACTGTTGTGCAAATGTAAATAGTGATGTGAGAAATGCGACGGAGAAAAACTGTAATGTTTTTGGGCACATAACATTTTTTTTTTCATAAACCGACTATGGTGCATTGGTGAAGCGCACCGTGCCGTCTGGTGGTGGTGTGTGATGTGGTGTGCAGGCGGAGGCTGTGGAGGAGGAGGTGGAGGAGGAGGAGGAGGAGGCGTCTGATGCTGGAACAGCTGTTGGAGCTGACGCAGGTGTTGCTGGAACTGCTGTTGCTGCTGCTGCTGATGCTGGTGCTGCTGGTGCTGATGAGGGTTAAACATCCTCCTGACGTCTGGACGCTCCTACGCTTCAGTCTGGGGGAAACAGAGACCAGTCACTGCATATAAGCGAGCATTAGGTAACGCAATATATCGGACAACATATCGCTATACGTTCATTTTTAATGTTATCGTTTGGCTCAAATAATAAAAAGGGAAGAAAATTTGTTAACTGACTAACTGATGGAGTGTGTAGCTTCTCATTTCTTAAACAACCATGTAGGAAGAAACATCATGGCCGTATTCCAGGAGGACAATGTCAAGATTCATCAGGCTCAGATTATGAAAGAATAATTATGAGGAGCTTGAAAAATCATTTTCACAAATGAATCAGCTCAACAAATGAGCCCAGACGATAAATTCAGTCAAAATATAGGGATATATTGGCCCATATATGTTCCTTTGTGATTTTATCGTTATTGGCCTGATAAGAAATGTGACCGATTAATATAATGTATTATTTCCTTCAGCAAATGCGCACTGTTCAACATGATGATTATGAATTGCTTGAAATATGATTGGAATCACATATACAGTCAGTGCAACACAAATCTGTCATATCGGCTACATTAAACTATAATGAGAACATCATCATAATTGTGTGCTTGAGACTTTTGTTTTTATGATCAGGCTCTCAAAAAGGATATAAAGACTTCAGATATTAGCATATATATCAGGTATCAAAAATAAAGAATTATTGGTTATCGGTATCAGACAAAATGTTCATATCGGTGCATCCTACTGCCAAAAATTATGCTCCTCTTGAATTTCATACATTGGATACAATATCTTGTACTGACAAGGCAAGAGTCAAGTAACTGAAAAGGAAATGTTTACTATATGATGTAAAAGAGTAAGCCCTTAAAGGCAAAATATAAAATAATATATATTATATGTAACTATAAAATGGACGCAAGGGAGTCTGTGGAAAACTTGAGAGGAAAGCAGTTAAGAAAATGGAGATAAATAAGTCATTAAATTAGATTAAAACAAAAAAAGTTAATACAAATGTGATTAAAATAAAAATATCAGTTATTAACCAATTAAATAGATTAAATAAAAGAATGAATACAATTAGGCTAGTTAGTAATTAGGCTATTAAATAAATACATTACAGCAGTGAGTTGTACAACAATATTGAGATTTGTAACATGGATTTTTCAGCGTATAATGTGGGCATTTATAAAAGATAGCTGTCTTTTAAATGTTGGGATGGACATGAGGATCATATTTGGGATTCCGTGGCATCTAAACCAGACGAGTGACGAATGAGACAATAAACAAACAAACAAACAATGAATCAAGACAAAAACAACATCAGCTCGACAGTCTGGCAGTGTCTCAAACCCTCGCTCCCTACACAGACAGCATCTTTAGAGCATCTCACGAGCATGCAGATGCATTTCAGAGAATCAAACAACTGCATTTATGCCTTAAGATGCTGTCTAGATAGGTGACTCACCAGGGTTTAGGAACACAGCCATAATCTTTATCTGTGTGCTATATATGCTAAAGCGCTATCTGTCAGAAACACGACAACATCAGCGACCACCCACAAGCCTCTCTCGTAATATTGATATTTTGAACTTTGGTATCCACTTATCTGCAGAATTAAAGCTAGTACTCACCAATTTTGCTGCAGGGAATATGAGTTTAATATAGGCGAAATGAGCGAACGCCTGTTGAAAGTTCCTGTGTCACATTAGCGCCGTGCTAACACTCGCACACCGGTCTCAGAGCGACAGTGACGGCAGCGCGTCACACAGCGACCCCTGCAGGACTGGAGGAGACGCGGCGCAGTACACTGAAGCACAGGTGTTCTGACGATTCATGCTACCCATCGAGATTTGCTACTTACCGGTTATGCGCATGTGCAGACTCACAGTTTATTTTTTATTTTTTATTTATTTTTTTTTACAAAAGGTACATTTTCCTGTTATATTGTATAATTTCCATTAAAAAAAAATGCTTACTACCATATGAATATTTGTACGGTCAGCCAGCTGAAAAAGAATAACAGAAAGTTTCAGTTACTATGAGGAAAGGTGTACTTTGACAAGTCAAAGATTAATATTTTATGATATTTTTTACTTTTCACACCGTTTTAAAAATAAAAACAGTAGTCTACAGTATACAGTAGCTACTCATAACTTAGAATTGTATTATATTTGTATTTCATACGACTTTAATCGGCATTCTGTGATCAATTCGCGCAAGGCAGTATTGCTCTAGTCTGGAAAAAAATGTTAATTTTACTTGTTTAGATAGATAGATAGATAGATAGATAGACAGATAGATAGATAGATAGATAGATAGATAGATAGATAGATAGATCTATCTATCTAGATAGATAGATAGATAGATAGATAGATAGATAGATCTATCTAGATAGATAGATAGATAGATAGATAGATAGATAGATAGATAGATAGATAGATAGATAGATAGATCTCATTAACATTGTTTTGACTTTAACAAGCGCGCCCACTACTGAGAGAACTCGGTGCTGCAGCTCGTGCCCGCGCGCGCGCTCACTGAGAGAAAAGCAGCTCATCATCATCTCCGAAGGACTGCAGACACACACACAGAGAGATAAAGAGAGACAGAATAAATGCCGAAATAAGATCCGTCCTAAAAGCGTGATCGTGAGAGAAAGAGAGAGAGAGATAGAGAGACGGAATAAATCAATGCAGAAATTCACTTAAAACACATATTCTTTCATTGCCGGTCATCGCGATGGGGAACCGGGGGATGGAGGATCTGATTCCTCTGGTCAACCGAATGCAAGATGCGTTCTCCGCCATCGGGCAGAACGCGGAGCTGGACCTGCCGCAGATCGCGGTGGTGGGCGGACAAAGCGCCGGGAAAAGCTCCGTGCTCGAGAACTTCGTGGGGAAGTAAGTCGTTCATGCATTATAATCACATAATAACATACAATAATAAAGCAGTATCAATCTTATATTCCAGCTCAGTCATGCATCAATGATATGCAAAGGTCATTGTGATGGTGATAACCTTTAAGTGTTATTGAGGCATGATGGAGGATCATAAAATCACCAGCCATTTTCACAACAACACATCTAAATCTAGTTACATAATCCCCCCTCAGGAGTAATTTATAGTGTATTCTTCAATATGCATTAGTGCATCATCATCATTAGTGAAATCTGTGATGATGATGATGATGATAATAATGCACAAGCTCAGAAGCCATAATAGAAATACTGTGTGAAAGATGGATGCTGGTGCACAAGGCAGGTCATAATGAACTGAGATTATGCATAAGCAATTAAACATGACAATTATCTGCCCTTTTATTATGGAGACGTTCTCTAATGTTGCATGGCATTGTTTCAATATAAAAACAGAAAACATTTGGTTTCATGCATGCAACAACAACAAAATCCTCATTAGTAGTGTTTGCGAGCTGATTAGTAGTGTTTTCCAGACATGAACGATTCCCTTAAATCTACTACAAAATGTCAGATGCACCGTTTTCACCTGCTGGGCCAGAAAACAGGTGTAAAAACCCCCTACAGATACACATTAAAGGACTCGAGTCACATCTAGATATCCAGACGATCAGAGATGTGACACCCTAGCAACCTAGAACATCTTAGCAACACCCTAGCAACCACCCACAACATTCAAGCATCATGGTGGTGTTTTAGTTGATGTAAAATGTCTCATCATGAAGCACAAATTCAGAAAACAGGCGTTTTGAGTGTGATGCATTATAAACATTGAGAAGGACGATGCCACAATATATGATTTAGCTAAAGTCTGTTTCTAAGGATATATTGGCGATTGACAGTTTTAATCAACATTAGCATTGCTCAGAATTGGCAGTCCTCACATCACGACATCATATCAACACTGAAATAAATAAACGCATCGAGCGACAGGCTCGTGTTGCACTGACTTGAGTGTCAGTGTTTTTGGACTCTATTAAATCTGGAGGGGGAATTTTTTTGGTTGTGTGTGTGTGTGTGTGTGTATCTAAGTCGTACACTGCATGATTCAGCAACTCTTGCTGCTGACGGAGGTCGTGTGTGAGGCACTGATGCTCTCAGAGAGCCACATAACACCACACAATCAACTAGATTAGTGCATTTTAATTTAATTTTGTCAGTCATTATAATCTGAACACACATCTGTATACTGTATCGGTGTATCAGCGTCAGTCATTATAATCTGAACACACATCTGTATACTGTATCGGTGTATCAGCGTCAGTCATTATAATCTGAACACACATCTGTATACTGTATCGGTGTATCAGCGTCAGTCATTATAATCTGAACACACATCTGTATACTGTATCGGTGTATCAGCGTCAGTCATTATAATCTGAACACACATCTGTATACTGTATCGGTGTATCAGCGTCAGTCATTATAATCTGAACACACATCTGTATACTGTATCGGTGTATCAGCGTCAGTCATTATAATCTGAACACACATCTGTATACTGTATCGGTGTATCAGCGTCAGTCATTATAATCTGAACACACATCTGTATACTGTATCGGTGTATCAGCGTCAGTCATTATGATCTGAACACACATCTGTATACTGTATCGGTGTATCAGCGTCAGTCATTATAATCTGAACACACATCTGTATACTGTATCGGTGTATCAGCGTCAGTCATTATAATCTGAACACACATCTGTATACTGTATCGGTGTATCAGCGTCAGTCATTATAATCTGAACACACATCTGTATACTGTATCGGTGTATCAGCGTCAGTCATTATAATCTGAACACACATCTGTATACTGTATCGGTGTATCAGCGTCAGTCATTATAATCTGAACACACATCTGTATACTGTATCGGTGTATCAGCGTCAGTCATTATAATCTGAACACACATCTGTATACTGTATCGGTGTATCAGCGTCAGTCATTATAATCTGAACACACATCTGTATACTGTATCGGTGTATCAGCGTCAGTCATTATAATCTGAACACACATCTGTATACTGTATCGGTGTATCAGCGTCAGTCATTATAATCTGAACACACATCTGTATACTGTATCGGTGTATCAGCGTCAGTCATTATAATCTGAACACACATCTGTATACTGTATCGGTGTATCAGCGTCAGTCATTATAATCTGAACACACATCTGTATACTGTATCGGTGTATCAGCGTCAGTCGTTATAATCTGAACACACATCTGTATACTGTATCAGTGTATCAGCGTCAGTCATTATAATCTGAACACACATCTGTATACTGTATCGGTGTATCAGCGTCAGTCGTTATAATCTGAACACACATCTGTATACTGTATCGGTGTATCAGCGTCAGTCGTTATAATCTGAACACACATCTGTATACTGTATCGGTGTATCAGCGTCAGTCATTATAATCTGAACACACATCTGTATACTGTATCGGTGTATCAGCGTCAGTCATTATAATCTGAACACACATCTGTATACTGTATCGGTGTATCAGCGTCAGTCATTATAATCTGAACACACATCTGTATACTGTATCGGTGTATCAGCGTCAGTCGTTATAATCTGAACACACATCTGTATACTGTATCGGTGTATCAGCGTCAGTCATTATAATCTGAACACACATCTGTATACTGTATCGGTGTATCAGCGTCAGTCATTATAATCTGAACACACATCTGTATACTGTATCGGTGTATCAGCGTCAGTCATTATAATCTGAACACACATCTGTATACTGTATCGGTGTATCAGCGTCAGTCATTATAATCTGAACACACATCTGTATACTGTATCGGTGTATCAGCGTCAGTCATTATAATCTGAACACACATCTGTATACTGTATCGGTGTATCAGCGTCAGTCGTTATAATCTGAACACACATCTGTATACTGTATCGGTGTATCAGCGTCAGTCGTTATAATCTGAACACACATCTGTATACTGTATCGGTGTATCAGCGTCAGTCATTATAATCTGAACACACATCTGTATACTGTATCGGTGTATCAGCGTCAGTCATTATAATCTGAACACACATCTGTATACTGTATCGGTGTATCAGCGTCAGTCATTATAATCTGAACACACATCTGTATACTGTATCGGTGTATCAGCGTCAGTCATTATAATCTGAACACACATCTGTATACTGTATCGGTGTATCAGCGTCAGTCATTATAATCTGAACACACATCTGTATACTGTATCGGTGTATCAGCGTCAGTCATTATAATCTGAACACACATCTGTATACTGTATCGGTGTATCAGCGTCAGTCGTTATAATCTGAACACACATCTGTATACTGTATCGGTGTATCAGCGTCAGTCGTTATAATCTGAACACACATCTGTATACTGTATCGGTGTATCAGCGTCAGTCATTATAATCTGAACACACATCTGTATACTGTATCGGTGTATCAGCGTCAGTCATTATAATCTGAACACACATCTGTATACTGTATCGGTGTATCAGCGTCAGTCATTATAATCTGAACACACATCTGTATACTGTATCGGTGTATCAGCGTCAGTCATTATAATCTGAACACACATCTGTATACTGTATCGGTGTATCAGCGTCAGTCATTATAATCTGAACACACATCTGTATACTGTATCGGTGTATCAGCGTCAGTCGTTATAATCTGAACACACATCTGTATACTGTATCGGTGTATCAGCGTCAGTCATTATAATCTGAACACACATCTGTATACTGTATCGGTGTATCAGCGTCAGTCATTATAATCTGAACACACATCTGTATACTGTATCGGTGTATCAGCGTCAGTCATTATAATCTGAACACACATCTGTATACTGTATCGGTGTATCAGCGTCAGTCATTATAATCTGAACACACATCTGTATACTGTATCGGTGTATCAGCGTCAGTCATTATAATCTGAACACACATCTGTATACTGTATCGGTGTATCAGCGTCAGTCATTATAATCTGAACACACATCTGTATACTGTATCGGTGTATCAGCGTCAGTCATTATAATCTGAACACACATCTGTATACTGTATCGGTGTATCAGCGTCAGTCATTATAATCTGAACACACATCTGTATACTGTATCGGTGTATCAGCGTCAGTCATTATAATCTGAACACACATCTGTATACTGTATCGGTGTATCAGCGTCAGTCATTATAATCTGAACACACATCTGTATACTGTATCGGTGTATCAGCGTCAGTCATTATAATCTGAACACACATCTGTATACTGTATCGGTGTATCAGCGTCAGTCATTATAATCTGAACACACATCTGTATACTGTATCGGTGTATCAGCGTCAGTCATTATAATCTGAACACACATCTGTATACTGTATCGGTGTATCAGCGTCAGTCATTATAATCTGAACACACATCTGTATACTGTATCGGTGTATCAGCGTCAGTCATTATAATCTGAACACACATCTGTATACTGTATCGGTGTATCAGCGTCAGTCATTATAATCTGAACACACATCTGTATACTGTATCGGTGTATCAGCGTCAGTCATTATAATCTGAACACACATCTGTATACTGTATCGGTGTATCAGCGTCAGTCATTATAATCTGAACACACATCTGTATACTGTATCGGTGTATCAGCGTCAGTCATTATAATCTGAACACACATCTGTATACTGTATCGGTGTATCAGCGTCAGTCATTATAATCTGAACACACATCTGTATACTGTATCGGTGTATCAGCGTCAGTCATTATAATCTGAACACACATCTGTATACTGTATCGGTGTATCAGCGTCAGTCATTATAATCTGAACACACATCTGTATACTGTATCGGTGTATCAGCGTCAGTCATTATAATCTGAACACACATCTGTATACTGTATCGGTGTATCAGCGTCAGTCATTATAATCTGAACACACA